ATCACCCTTTCACTTTTCACTGCCATGGTGGTGGCGATGGTGTGTATGTGTGCGTGTGTGTGTGCATGTGTGTGTCTTCTCTCCAGATTCTGTTTTCTTCACATCCTTAAGAATAAAATAAAATCATCATTCGATGCCCTAGACCCTCCCTGTCTTTGCCCAGGTGCTCTCTCTCTCTCTCTCTCTCTCTCTCTCTCTGTGTGTCTGTGTGTGTGTGTATGTGTGTGTGTGTGTGTGTGTGTGTGTGTGTGTGTGTGTGGCTAGCCAGCAGATCTTTCCTCCTCTGGCTCACAGTCCCTGTAACCACTTGGGGCTTTTTCTTCTGTTGTGAAAGACAAGTGGGAAAGGGTCATGGTCTTGGTGCGACTGGAGCACAGATGAGGTTGGCCAGTGACTTAAGTTGCCTCCCTTCAAGTAATTGTCTGTATTAGTGTGGGCAAAGAGGGACCAGTGTTAGGCCATGTGCTAATATAGTGTGGATATGCAAGTGTGAAAAAGGAAAGAGAGAAATATGTTAATTGTGTGCTTTCAATAAGATGTGCTGTCCAAGGTAATTATTTCACGATAGTGTTAGTAATAGTACTGGTTTTATCATGAAATGATAGATGGTTTTAGGAGCCTTTTATTGGGAAGACAATTGTATCAAATTAGTACAAATTAGATTTTTGTCTTTACAAAGGTGAGCAAACCCATAAGCAGTTTTTAAATTGCATTTGAGTCTACAAATGAACAAATTCAGTTTGAGGGTTAAAGACGTTGTTATTTTGTCCTTTATGATGGCAGCTTCATTACAGATTGGCCTGCTGTTGGCATTAAAAACATGTCTGGCTCCTTACGATCTGTGTCCATGCGGCTATGATATTGATGCTATACCACTGCTCATTAAGGGCTCACTTCAACGTGGAGATACAGATGTTAAATGCAGTCGTTTCTCTTGGTGTACAGCCTGATGGCTAATAATTTCCAAGTGGCTAAAGCTCTTGTTAGCAGGAGTGCTGGCGTGCTAAGAATGGCACTATAAATAACTCTAAGAATGGAAGTTGAAGGTGCTTCTTTTAAAGACTATTGTTAACTAAACATTATTGCCAAACAGATGGAGAGCACTCTCCAGCCTGATGTTTTTAGGTCTAATTGTATTATCACCAGCCCTGCACGGCTCAGTTGAAGAGGTGTACCCAGAGGCCAATTTATAATCATTTAGGCAACACCTGTTTGGGAGAAATTGACAGTCAAAGGGCACATTTAAAAAAAAATCACATATGTTCTTGTGTTTATTACCTCAATGTGAACATTGTTGCGTTGCAAGCAAACTTGGTAGGAGAAGAAAGCCCTCATCCACCTGCCGCTTCCCAGCCTTGCTTTTCTATCCTAATTTGTCCTTTTGTGGGGTCTGCTTCATGCTTCATGGCTGAGATGACTCTCCCCCCTCCCCCCGCAGTCCTGCAGCTGTGTTCTGTTCTGACAGGCAGGCGGCTTCTGGTAAGAAGAAATTCTCTGGCCTTACCATTTACCTGGAGAGATATTTTCTACCTCATGTATCTGTGTCTTTGCAAACATGACTGGCTCTCTGGGGAGTGACGTAAAGAGTTGTAAGTGGATGTAAAACCAGGTGAGATGCTAGGAGCACAGCTGCCTCTACAAAGCCCACAGCTGTCCCTTGCCGTCCGTGTATGGAGGCGACCTCTGGGTGACTTCCTGTCAGGACTCAAGCCTTGGAGGGTCACTTCAGTGAGAATGTCAGGAGCTCTTCTGGCCTTTAGGGACAGGATGGGTCTCTCTGTGCAAAGTAATCAGAGCTCAAATAGTCCACCTTCCCTCCTTTGTTTTTCCTCTGGCGTTCTTCACCACTGAAAGGTTTACATCTATCACCCCCATTTTTCTTTTACCCCTGATTTACATGGAGCAGCCTGGCTTCTGTCTCAAGCAGTTTACTGATAGTGACTTTTGACTTCCTGCTTCCTTCCCCAGTGTTTTTTCCTCAGTCCTTCATAGTGGCTCCTGCTGCGTGGAGGGATGGCTGCCCCACTTTGTAGTTCTGTCTCTCACTCGCTCTTTCCTTGTAGAGTCATTCTTCTTGCTGCTTTCATACCCACCTACAGTATTCTAAGTATGTTCAGCTTTCTAAATTCAGATGCAAATAGTATGCTGTTTGCTCATGTGCAGGCAGACTAACAGTGAGAGAGGAAACAGTCAAGTCTGGCTGTTCGGTACAGATCTCACCTTTCTTTGCTTGGTAGCTTTTTTGACTATGTCAGTTCATGCTTTGAAGTTGCTTTTTCACCGTTGAAATAGGCTGGTTGGGATGCTGAGAGCGTCCATGACTGAACTCTCTGAAGCCCAGGATTGTGCCTGTTGTGGAGGGAAATTCTAATGGGGTCCTTCTCAGGCCTTCAGATTGTGTTTTGTGGGGAGTGTTTTCAAATGTAAGTCCTCAGTCCTGACTTCTTTTCCAGGCTCTTTTCACACCTTGCTGTCCACCTTTTGTATTTTTAGACTTGAACCTGTGAGCTGTGTGCTTATGGAGTTTTTATATCAAAACAAACAGCATTTCTACCCTACTTCTACCACAGCCAACCATGGCAGACTTAGCTCTCTGAAGACGCTAATATATTATGTTAAAGTTGTGTCAGAGTAAAGTCAAGTCAGACTTGTGACACAGGCCCCAGGGGCCTGACATCCAGGAGCTGGTGACACTGCTTTTCTCACTGCGGCCTGTGAAGGGGCTGTTAATGGGCTGCCCTGCCTCTGGAGGGCAGGATGAGCTGTGTCCTGCTGGTGGTCAGCTGAGGGCTGCTCTCTGCTTCTCGACTTTGCCCGCTCCTCTCTGGCCTTCTCTGAGCATCTAGAGGTGCCTTTGGCTTCTGCCCATGTGGGAGTCTCCGTCCTAGCCAGGTCGTCCCTCCTATGCTAGGGAGATCCCCTTCTGCCATGCCACGCTGTGCTTCCATCCCTTTAGTCGGGAGATAGTTGTCACTTCTAGAAGGTCATGTGATTCAGCGTGACCCACCCACACATCCCGGTGAGCTGTCAGCTCTGTGTTAACTATATCTGGGGAGCCCTTTCACCGTTGCACAGTCCACTCACAGATTCTGGAGTAGGGCGTTAGCATCTTTGGGGCCTGTGACATGCCCATAAGGAGTTTGACATCTGGTTGGGAGATGACAAATGAACAAATAAAAACAAGCTGAAGAGTTTGAGATGCCATAATAGATGTTAGTCCTGTATAAAATGGGAGAGCCATCAGTATTAATAAGAGAGAGAGAGTGACATTTGAGTTGAAGATGGGAAGGTGAGTAGTTTGAGAAGTGGCTGGGGAACAGTCCAGAGAGAAGCTACAGTAACGGTGATATAGCAGTCACCACCCTGGGTGTACTCTGGGAGATCAGCTGGGAGAGAGTAGTGGCCGCCGTTGTCATCTTTCATCGCAGCATCACACCCGCAGCCACAGTGCCAGCGATGTGTGTAATAGGAATGGTGGAGGAGAGGGTTAACATTGATTACCCGTGGCTGACAGTCAGTGCTTAACCTGTGGCGGGTGAAGCAGCAGGACATGCTTAGAAAGGCTTGGGAGTGTGTTTGGCTCGTTGACTTGGCTGTGGGTTCTGAAGTTGGAGAGATGAGAGACTTGGAGCTTGGGCTCGGGAACTCCACGGGACACCTGGGAGTTGTCTGTGTAGATGACACTCTACCTCAACCCAGGCTGACTTAGTGCAGTGAGGCACTCCGCAGCATTCTGTAACGCCTGCGTCTAAGCTGGGGCTTGTCACCCCAGTGTCACCTTCCCACCTCAGCTTTGTCTCCCACCATTCTTCTGTTTCTGAGCTGAACAGGCCTGTGTACCCCTCGCCTGTTGTCCCTCCTCTAGTGGGGACCACTGGTTGCTGTCAGGAGCTCTTGGAAAAAGTCCTGTTTGCAGTGTTTGCTGATTTCTGTGGCATCAATTCTCCCCAGTTTGAGGCTGTGGTGGCTAAAATGGCTCATTTGAAAAGTTGGTAGTAGACACTCATGGACCTGCAAAGCCTCACATATTTGCTAATTGTCCTTTGTGGCCTAACTGTGCCATAGTGGTTAGCAAAAACAAAGCACAAATGTGATAGGATTTGTTCTTGTTTTCATCTCAGAGAGTGGCAGGGATGGCATTCAGAGGGCAGTGTGTGAGATGAAGGTCCTGAGGTCCTTATGGAGTTGGGTCTCTTCTTACAGAGAGGTGAGAGGGTGGCACGTTTGAACACACTTAGAAAAGAAGCGTTGCCTCATGATTTAAGAATTGACTCCAGAGCTGTGCAGTGCAGAGGGTGCCGGGGGCCCATCCTTCGTTGTCTGCTGGCAGAGCTGGTCTCTGGTTGGTTGCGGGCATTAGTGGGAGGGCGCGGGACAGGGCAAACGTTGAGGATGGAGTCAGCAGGATTTGCCCCATGGCAGAAAGAGGAGTTTAGCTCTGGACCAGAGTGGAGAAGCAGTACCCAAAGGATGCCTGAGATGGTGCCAGAGCCTCCGCTACTGAAGTTGCTAAGAGAGTCTAGAGGGGCATCGAACCTTTATTAGTTTTAATAAAATCACTTCCTCTACCACGTGAGAGACTTCTTTGACTGTGCCCTCCCCACCCAAACCTTGGGGGCTTGGGGTTTCCCTGCTTTCAAGGCTGGCCTAGGATTGCCCTGCCATCTTGTTCTCGCTGTCCTCTGCCACACACTGACGGCTTCCCCAGCTGCCGTGCTCCATGCCTGGCAGTGCCTTGTACTGTTAGAAAATGTGTTGTAAAAATAAATCCAGAGAACACAGTGATGTTTCTACGTTGTAGCATTCTTAGAAAAGAAAGTTGTAATAAAATCTATTAGATGGGGATGTTTGTGTCCTATGATTTTCGGTTTTTAAAAAGTCTATTCAGAAATTAGAATTTTGGGAAGAATTACAACCCATCCCAGCTCTTAGTCTCTCAAGTTAAAGTGTTAATGTTGTGTTATATTTTGTTAAACTTATTGCTTGTGTCTTTTATATAGGTTTTACTTGTAATGGACACAAGGACAGAACAGACATTCATTTTAAAAGTAAGTAGAATTTGTATGCTTAGTGAATTTAAAATCAGGCTTTTGAAAGAAAAAAATTTGCATGGCACTTGACTATTTTATTTTATGGTGATCTATATTTCTGTCTTTCAGTTGATAAACATGCTATAGCTTCCATTTAAAAAGTCTTATGTTAAGTAATATGTAATTAGAATGCATCCAAGAACCAACAGTGTGTTTCTGGTTCATAAGGATCACACGGGCCTCACTTGGGCTTTGATTACAGCTCCTAAACACGAAATTTCTGCAGATACTCCAGAAACAAGTGTGTCCTGGCTTGTTCTTTGCTACAAATTCTTGATTTGTAGAATAATTAAATGAATAATTTTAGATTTGACATTGTTTTTGGAATGGTTTGCAATAGTATGTATCCTACATGTGTCCTGATTGAACATTCCCATGGAACCGAAGGGGAGTCTTGCCTTGAGCATCACTTCCCTTGCTGGCCAAGCATGACAGAAGGTCACACAGACGTGTGTGAAGCCTGTCCACGAGCATCCACGTCACCACACTCAGTGCTGCTTACCTAGACTTTAAGCCGGGCTACACCAGAAAACGCACAGATCTTGTCCTCTTGGAGATTAGTTGCTAGTGTTTTGGAAAATAATTTAAAAGTTACTGCTTCGTCCAGGGCATGTCTGGTGTCTGGAGAATGTGGCTTGGACATTTGACACAGCCTCAAAGATACACGTAAGGAAAATGAAAGTTAGAGGTCGCAGGGAAATAGCTGTGTGTCATCCTGATGACTTAGTTTGAGAGCACCGCTAATAAAAACACTGACCCACGTAATTGATTTTAATGGCAGCTTTGTGGCATCTTCTGTTGTCTGGACTCATGCCAGATGCCATCAGCAGAGCCTCTGGGGACTGAGGGGCACTGAGCAGCAGATGAGTGGGCTCTCTGAAGCCCCGAGTAACTCGGATAGATTAGTTTGGTTGATAAACACTGAGCACAGCAGGCTCCAAAGGCAACTGTGGGTACAGCTGACCTTTTTGTTCTCTGCCAGGGTCTAAGGAAAAGCAGTGAGCACAGCAGGAGCAGAAAGACCATCATCCCCCGCTGCGTGCCCAACATGGTGCGTCTGCACGCGTACATCGTGTCGGAGGAGTCGGTGTTTCTCGTGCTGCAGCACGCCGAAGGTGGGTTGGCCGAGCTGCCTGCGGCGTGAAGCTCGTCGCCGGTCCTCCAGGCTGGCGTCTATGGTGCTGCTTTGCCTCTGTCCTTTCAGAGGCATGGAGATAGGGAGCCTGTGTCCCCGCTCCTGCCCAGCCTCCTGGCTCTGAGGTTTGAGGGAAAAGGAAAACCCAGGTGACCAGCCAGCTTCATTCACCTGAACCGTGGGACAGTCCTAACGTGTGCACTTTGCTATGAGATTGACTGACACGGAGCGAGCATTAATGTGAGTGCATGCTGAGAGCTGGGTTTATTTAGAGATTTAATTCCGTTCCCTTGTCTGCACTGAAAAGCTACACGTACGTTAGATGACTAAAAAAGCATCCCCTGCAGAATTAATTAATTGCTTCCTTCAGAGGGAAGGCAAGGGTGTTTGCTTAACATTTGACATTGCCTCGTTTTTCTGATCTGAACCTCATGAACACAGCCATTGGCATCGCGGGCGAGTACAAAGCAGAGGCCTGGGCTCCGCCTTCAGCCGCTTCGGAGAACAGGTGGCCAAGGGTACTCTGCTGATTTGGCGTTGCCCGTTCACACTTGAATTCCAATAAATCTCCTTTCATTTAGGTGACTGCAGCATGTAAAGATGGATTCGCATAACACACATTGCCTTTTGGCATCTAACAGGTGTTCTTAAATGATGAAGAAAATTTAAATTATCTTCCACTCTTCGTGAAGGCGTCCTTACGTTTAGAGTGAGAACAAAATGCCGTCTGTTACTAACAGGCATAACATTTGAATTTAATACCTTTTTCTCAGGAAAAAGAGGCACCCACCGCCTTCTGGAATGAGGTCTCCCATGATGACTACTGCGAGCCTTTGTGGGGGCAGAAGGCGCTGGTGTTCTGACGCCCGCACAGGAATGCAGACGGAGGGAAGCCTCCTCATGCAGTGTTTAATAGGAAATTCAGAGGGGCTCCGTGGGCTCGCAGGTATTAAGAGAGTTAATTGCGTGTGTGAATTGGATAACTAATTCACCTTTGTTCAGACATTACAGACAGCTTTTATCTGAGGATACCAGTGCATTACAGCCCTTATTGAATTACAGGTCATGTCATCTGACGGCGAGAGACTGCCACCTCTGCTGTGGAACAAAATAACTTCAGTAGTAATAATCCACAATAATTTAGAACAAGGTCAGGAGGATGAATGTAATTATGGTCAATATTCTATTAGCTGGTGTGGATTATTCGTGTTGGAGATTATCTGTGGCCAAGCTGTGACCCTCACTTTCTTCCTCTGTCTGTGGCTTGCCTTCCTCCTCCTGATTCTCTACGTTGCACTTGTTTCCTTCTGCTGGCTTCCGTTCTGCCGGAGAGCCAGAACTGAGATGGTCGCTGGTGCTGGTGTAATGTGGCGCGCCGGTGTCACAGTGTTCTGAAGGCATGGACAGATGATGGCCAGCTTTCCTGTTCTTGGAGCTCACCTTGAGCAAGCCTGTGGTATTGACTAAATGGAAACCAGACACGGACTTGTAAGCCTACTAGGACAGTCTCTCCTGTCAAGTAGCTATGGCTTCGCTCTCTAGCAGTCTCTCTGATGCTCAGTAAGTTTTTGCGAGTAGGAAGCTCAGCTCATTTGCGGTTGCACAGAGAGCAAAGCAGGACCAGAAGCTGCCCTTTCAGAACCGAAATCGCTGCTGTGGAGCCACAGAGAAAACAAAAAGCAACAAAGGACTGGATACACAGTGGGCCCGCCCTGTGATCCTTAACACAGGTGACATAATGGGTGACAATGGGGGGTCGGCATCAAGTCATCCTCAAGGAGCTGTCTCTGAAATGGTGACATTGGGAAGAGCTGAGTCACAAAGATGCCACCATTCACATGTAAGGTACAGGCACGGGGACTGTGTGACGACAGGGTGTCTGATGACCGAGAAAGGACACTGTGCTGCCGTGTGGCCACTGAACCAGCTGTGGAGCTGAAGGCGGGCTGTGTGGAAGAGGCAGGAGCCGCACCCTGCAGGGTCAGGGCTCACGCCCTCCTCGGATCTCACTCTCCAGCCAGCTGTAGGTGCGAGACACTCATCCCACTCCTCATGCCAGCCCACTTGAGGCCTCATTTCAAACAAATGTCAAAAAGGCCAGTCCTCGTTGTGTGGACGTGGTGTCGGAGTCTGTCTTCTGCTGCTGATAAACACCATGACAGAGTGGCTTGGGGAAGAAAGGGCTTATTTGGTTTACATGTTCTAATTACAATCCAGTGTGGAGGGATGTCAGGACAGGCGCCTGGAGGCGGGAGCTGAGGCAGAGGCCACGGAGGGGTGCTGCTCACTGGCCTGCTCCTCATGGCTTCCTCGGCCTGCATTCTTGTATGACCCGGGAACACCTGCCCAGGGATGGCTCCGCCCACAATGGGCTGGGCCCTCCTAAGCCAATCATTGATCACATAAATGCTTCCACAGGCTTGCCTACAGCCCAGTCTTATGGAGGTGATTAATTCCTCATTTGACCTTCCATTTCCCAGATAGGTTTATGTTAAGTTGACAAAAACTAGCCTTCAAAGAAGGGCTGCAGTAAGCAAAGAGCAGAGCAGAGGCTGATGGATGGTGGCGTGGTCTTCGGGGTCCCGTGACCTGTGTATTTCCCAGTCTTGGCCCAAGCAGTGGAGTGAGCTGGTTGATGGCTGCATGCGTTCTTTTACCCACTGTGGTCCTTTTGTAGACCCTCCAGGAGTGAAGAAGTCTCACAGTTCCACATGGTGGGGAGAAAACTGACCGCTGTCATTGTCCTCTGACCTCTGCATGCCCTGTGGCAGGCCCCCTTCTCAAGGACATGTCTGTGAAAAAGATGCTTTGACAGTGTAAATAGTTCTGCTGAACTCTGAGGATTTATCTCACAGCTTTCGCTCCCCAGAGCTGACAGAACTAGCTGGAATGTGTATGTGTCTCCTACTCTCTCTTTACTTCGTTCCTCTGGAAGCTTCTTGAGTGCTTTTGGGGCATAGACATAGTTCTAACACAGCAGTGGGCAAAGCAGAAGAGTTTGCTTCATGGAGCCCATGTGGTGCCTTAGATGGGGGCAGACTGTAAACATGCAGATGGCTAAAAGTGGGAGAGCAGAACGTCAGGGGACGGGGGAGTGTTCTCCATGTTGGTCACCGTACTGAGAAAGGAGCATTTGACGGGAGGGAAGGAACAGTGTGTGTTTGTGGGGAAGAATGCCTTAGCAAGAGAAAGCAAGCACACAAGCCCGGAGCCAGGAGTGTGCTTGGTGGATCAGGAGCAGCCAGATGACGGTAGCTGAGAGGCGTGGGGAGGCAACAGAAGCAGGACCTGGAAATCAGGAACTGTCCTGTCTCATAGGCCACTTGCACTGCTTGTGAGAACCTGATGGAACAAGAGGAGCAGTCATTGGACAATGCTAAGCAGACGTAAGGGCCACTCTGCCTACTGTGTAGAAAATGGAAGATTTGTGGCCAAACACAAAAAAGGGCACAAGAACACTTTAGAGGTTTTGCAGCAAACTGGGCAAAATGATGGCGGTCTGGGTAGTGTCCACATTAGCACGCTCTCTGTTGCTCTGAACGGACACTTTAGGCACCTTGTCAAAGAAGTACATTCAGGGCTGTGGTACTGGAACCTGCTTGGTCCTCGTGAGGACCTCAGTGGGCACATGTAGAAGACTGAGGTGGTAGGGTGGGACAGCAAACCAGAGAAAGCGCAGGGTCCCAGGAGAACTACATGATCTCCTTCCCAGGGTGAGGCCCCGAGACCCAGCGGCCTCCTGCCGCACAGCTGTCGAAGGGAACCAGACTTCCAGCTGTGTCCCCCAGCAGTGCCGGGGCTAGTAGGGTGTTGCTGGCTTCCAGTGTCCCTGCCCACACTTGCTTTGTGCTCTTTGAGTTCGAATGCATTTGGAAGTAGAACTGACTGACAGGATTCTGCCTTCAGGACTCCAGGTTGTTTGCTCCAAACATCGAAAATGGGTCTTCCGTTTACCAAGGTGTGGGGAAAGGAGGTGCAGTCGGAAAACAAGGCTTCCATTTTGGACACATGAATCGAAAAGTGTGAGCATGTAGTGTTCCTGTGTGCAGGGACACGCTCGTGGGGGCCAGAAGTCAACTGTAGATGTCACTTCTCAGAACCTGTCCATGCTGTACTGGGGAGGCAGGGCTTTACTTGGCTTAGAGTCTGCCAGGGACGCTGGTCTGGCTAGCCAGCACCCCAAGGACAGTCCGCGTGCTGTGATTCTGAGCATACCAGCACCATAGCCAGCTTTCGTCTGAGGCCCCGGTGATCTGAGCACTTTTTGTTTGAGCAGCTTCCCAGCCCTGGAGGTGTTCGCTGATACCCAGATGGTGGTGGGCACAGAAGAGCTGGCTTCAGGAGGGCTGCAGAAGACAGAGCCTAGTGCTACAGCACTTGCCTGGCATGCTTACACCCTGCTCAGAAAAGCAGGTGTCAAATGGTCATTGCTTTTTAACAATTTTCTTCACCCTGTTTGAGGAGCAGGATGGGGAAGCGGTCTTCAGTCAGGGCTGTGAGTGTCACCATTACCGAGGCGAGAAGTTACAGAAGCTCTCCACATATGGGCTGGCCACTAGCTGAGTGCTCACTGTGCAGAAGGTTTTCAGGGAAACGGGAACGGCCAGGCTGGAGGCCCATGGCTGAGAGAGCAGAGCATGCAGGGACTTCTCCACCACTATTGTTTTATTAAGAGAGTGGTGAGGTCATTAGCACCTAGGCCAGCTCTGTGGGTGTTGGTGAGAGCCTTCCTGTCCGTGCTGAGGCCCAGCTCTGGCTCTAGAAACTGATGCTGCTTTTCTCCTTGTGGAGACAGTCTCCTGTGACACGGGTTGTCTTTGAACTTGTATTCCCCCTGCCTCAGTGTTCATATACTGAGGTAACAGGCCTGTGTTATCATGTCTGTTATGTCCGCTTTTGTGTTTTAATGTAACAGATTCAAGATGCTGCCTCAAGCCTGCTTGTCATCTTAGCAATGTACATTAGACACCTTTCTGAGCATATACAGAGCTGTGCTATAAAAGTTCATGTTGCACCATGTGGTGACCATGTGGTGACCTTTCATCCCAGGACTCGAGAGGCACAGTCAGGCAGACACCTGTGGGCTCAAGGCTAGCCTGGTCTACATAGTGAGTACCAGGCCAGCCAGGGCTAGGTAGACTGGATAGTGAGGCCAGCCTTCCTTCCTTCCTTCCTTCCTTCCTTCCTTCCTTCCTTCCTTCCTTCCTTCCTTCCTTCCTTCCTTCCT